AAACCATTCTGTGATTCCATGATTCTATGACCCTTCCCCTGACCCCTCCAAGCTCCCTGTTGCATTTGGCAGTAAAGCTCATGGACCATGGTTGCAAGGGATTTTTTTTGGTTGAAGGTGAGGGAAAAATTCTCCCTTCTCCTGCTTTGCACTTCCCAGTCTCACCTGTGCTTCATCACTCACAGCTGAGCTCCCCAGCCATAAGGAACAGACTGGACTCGGTACCGTTTACAGGACATTCACAGCAGAGTAGAGCCATGGTCCATGTGCTTGCTTTGGACCACTGAAACAGTCAGCTGTCCCTGAGCACACAGACACTTCTGAGTCTCCTCAGCACAACCCTGTCCAAAAGACACTGCCTGGCTAGGATGCAAGCACCTGGACTGTGATAGCCACTGTGAAGCAGCAATTCAAACCCTAATGATGTCTGGCATAAACCTGGTGCACAGGTGTGAGCTGCACATCTTCCCAGCCAAAGGAGCCATGTTGTGACATACTGCTGTAAAATGCCACCCGGAATAATAATGCAAATAATCATAACAAGTTATCTGGATTCATAGAGAGGGAGAAATCGTGCCAGTAAACTCTGCCTCTGCGGATGCTGCTCCTGATGGGTTTATCAGGAAAGTGTACTGGTTTCCTCTGTCACACACTACCTGGTATTGACACTGTATTAGCTGTTCACAGCTCTTTTTGGCTCTGTTTGCCTCTGACATCAGAATTAATTCTCCCTTCTTATCCTGTGTGACACACGAGTCACTCACAAAAGGGAAAGATTCCCCAAAAATCTGGATGTTCTCTTTCCCCCATTACTAGAAGGTCTTGAATTTGTCTCTGGATACTCTGGAGTCCAGGACTTTTTCCTTCCTTCTCAGATCACAGAAGCCACAGTCTGTTATCTCCCATGTGCTATTTAAGTCACCTCTGCCCAAGGAGTCCTCTCCTTTGGCAACTTTCCCAGGGCACTCAGCTGCCCATGGCATGGACGGACCCTGCAAATTCCCGCAGCACCAAGAATCCCCACCCTCCCCAATCCCCAAAGAAGGGCCACAAATTAGCAAGCAGGGGCTGTGTGCTGTCACCAGCAAGAGGGTTGATGCCTGGCATGGCTTTCAATTAGTCAAGTGTCATTATCCCAAGTGCTGGACCATGCTCAGCTCCTTGACCCCTGGCTTCCCTCCTGCGCCTTCCCTCTTGGGATGCTGGCATGGCTCTCAACCACCCTCTTAGCACAGATCTTTTGTCTGGCATGGCTGAGAAAAGGCTTTTGGTGGCACCCAGTCCCTGCGCAAAGGGCTTGTGCTCTTTGGCCCCATCTGGCTGTGTCGGATGGCAAGTCCTGGATCTCCCTCCTTGGAGAGCTGCTGTACTTTTGGGGAGTGTGATGCAACAAGGGGCACAAAGAGCTGGAAATTATGAAAAGCACCTTTTCCAGGAGGGTGACATAGTCCTGGGAGGGGTTAGTAGAGACGTGTTTTCCAAGACTCAGATAGAAAAAGCCACAGCATATCTACTCTTAGTGATAGTCCTGATGCAAACAGGAGGGTGAATCGGAGACCTGAGATGTCCCTCTTATTTTAGCTTGAGAGAAGCTACCCACCACTTGTGTCTACATGAGGAGAAATGCCCTACTACCACAACACAACAGCAAAACAACTTGTGTTGATGTAAAGGCCAATTTTAGTGAAATCCAGACCCTGCTGGGGAGGGGTACAACAGCAATGACCACAGCCATCTTTCTCTGGGAGAATAAGAAGGTGAATGGTGTGTCATGTTCTTTGATCTCAAGTTTCCCTTTTGCGATGATGATCATCACACCATCAGACCCTCCAGTGCCACTGGCCACACTCAGTACCTGCCCTCTGGCTGCCCTACCCGGATGGTTTTCTTACTCTCTCACAGCAGCTTTTTCCTGGGATGCTGAAGAATTTATGGTACCTGAGGGCTGAAGATGCTGCTGGTGACATAGCATCTCTCCTCAGTCCCAAAAGCACCAAGCACAGGTGGTGTCCCAACAGTGTGCCATTGATCCCTGGGTGAACGAGGGCCATTTGGCCTCGCTTTCTTCAGCACTGGGAGGTCCTCAAAGGCCAGTGTAGTGGGTGCTTTGCAGGGAGGCCATTGTCCAGCTGTGGCAGGAGCACAACCCCATAACAATCCTCTGCACTGTGTGAGATGGAGCCCCAGCTGCCTGCTCAGTCCAAAGCCAAGGCAGAGGGAGGCTGTAATCGCCATTTCCCCAGGCTCATCCCTCCCCTCCCTCTGCACGATCTCCTCTCCCCACAACACCCTCCATTCTCCTGTCCCAGCTCTGCCTTTGTGTCTGCAGCTTCTGTTACCAACTGCTAATGATCTACATCAAGGCTGCCAGGCGGTTCCCAGTGTAAGCAGAAGAATTCAGAGCCTCTAATTACAGAGGAATTAGCAAGCAGACAGTTACTGTTTAGTGCTAATGAATAGATACATTAAGAGAGCCATCACACAGGCTGAGAAGTGTGAGTCTTGATAATAAAGGAGTGTCAAACAAGGAAAACACAAGGAGGAGGATCCAGGGAACAGAAAAGATTCTCCTGCAACTTAGTTCTCTGGTTTTACTGAGGTGGAAGTAGCCACAGGCAGTAGATGAACATAACAAGCAAATCATACAACTGCAATGTGCAAAATCTGAGCAAAACCTGTTTTTTTAGGACAAGAGGGAATGGCAGGAAGATGTGGCAGGGGAGGGTGAGGTTGGCCATGAGGAAAAGGTTCTTGAGGCAGAGGGTGGTGGAGCACTGGAACAGGCTCCCCAGGGAGGTGCTCATGGCACCAAGCCTGACAAGATTCCAGCAGCATTTGGCCAAGGCCCTGAGGGACATGGTGTGAATGTTAGGATTGTCCTGTTGGACTCATGACCCTTGTGGGTCCTTCCAACTCACAATGTTCTATGACTCTATGATTTTATGATTAAATAACTCATCTATAGTGCAGGATCATGCTGGAGGTATGCAGAGCCCCTTCCCAGCCTCAGGTAGCATCACACCCATTCTGTTTCCATGAGCCATCTCTGTAAAGGAAGGTGCAACAGGTCACCATCCCAGACCAGTTCCTCTCTCTTCATCATGTGTGGACATGTTCCTGCACAGTCAAACCACAGTTCAACACTATGCCAAATCTACCTTCAGGGGCTTCTGATAAGGTATTGAAAACACTGACCCCACAGCTCCTGAGCTAACTTAAAATCAGAGGTCACTCTGCTGGTTCACGTGCCACCAAAACATTTTTGCAGGTTACCTCTGCCTCAGTGCTCTGCACGCTCAACCCAGTGATGGCCATCTGCACCACTGCTGCAGATCAGACTCTGTCCCCTGTCACCAGCACACACCAGCCTCCAGGCAATTCAGTGGAAATGCAATCATCCATGACTGCCAAATTCAGTCTTGATGGTCGTGTAGTGTCCAGGACAGCCTGGGGCATGTTTGCACAACCCCACACATTTGCTGCAGCTCTCAGAGGGACCACAGAAACTCCCTTCCTCCCACGCATGCTTGTACCTTATTGGCGTGCTTTCACCGTGAACTGGATTAAGCAAAGCCTCAGCCCCAGTCGTGCTCCAGCTCCAGATGGCTTCCAGGTGGGCTGGGGAGAGCAGCTCCTGACCAGCAGCTCTGTGGGGCATCCTGCCACCAGCACAGCTGCTGACTGGGAGCTGCTGGTGAATGTCCCAGGAGCAGCACTACCAGCCACCCTGACACATCCCTTCTCCCAGCAAAACCATCCTGCACAGGGGGAGTGTAGCAAACCCACAGGCCAGCACAGAGCTGGGGACCAAAATTGAAACCCTTCCAGCTCTGCTGCTTGGTCTTCTTCTCTGCAGAGTCACCAAGGAGGCACAGGACATGGAGCAGATTTCCAGATGGTCATCCCACATATCCATCTCCCAGCCCCTCTTCTGTGCAGCCTTCCTTTGCTTTCACAGCCTGTCCTGGCTTTCTATGCAGTCAGAGCAGAGATTGCAGCTTGTGTCAAAATGCTGGAGCTAATCCTACCTCACCTCCTCAGGAACCAGGAGCAGCAGCAGGGACTGCAGCAAGGCTGCCAGCAGTGGTGAGCACTGCTGCTGTGTCCTCAACACACCAACGGTGCAGGCAACTGATGCTCTGAGGCAACAACCTCAGAAACACATGCCCAGTGCCAGAGAAGGATGTTGAGACAGCAGAGGACCATGACAAGAGCTATTCTGCTGCAGTGATGGGGAGGCCAGCTCTGCCTTGCAGCACACGCCAGTTTTTCACCAAAATAATGGATATTTTTCATACCCAAGGCTTGGGATTCATCCAGGAATTGCCAGGCTCATGCATTTTGGTCACCACCAGCATTACAGAGCAAGCAGCACCATGTCACACCTCACCCCACCTCTTCATCCCTTCAAACCCTGCTCACCCCACAGGGTTTCACCCAGCAACTCTTGACCAGGAGATCTCTGCCCACCACCTCCCCTTCCTGGAGGAGTCTGCTGGGAAACACGAGCCCGCATCTTACCAGCCTGGTTGGTGGTGATGTTCACGGATGCAAACTGCGGGGAGAAGGGGCTCTGGTCCGTGACGCCGTTCACCGCCTGGATCTCGAAGGTGTACTGGGTGTGAGCCAGCAGGTCACTGATGTAGATGCGGGGCTCTGTCAGGCCCAGCTGCCGGGGAGCAAACTGCACGTTGTCCCCACAGCGTGTGCAGGCCCCGCGGCCGGAGCCACAGCTCTTGCAGATGATGTTGTACACCAGGTCCTCCCGGCCCCCCGAGTCCCGTGGTGGGGTCCACTCCAGCATCAGAGAGGTCTCGTTTACACTGGAGATGACGGCCTGGGGGGCAGATGGGATGGCTGTAAAGGGAACAGACAAAAAGGTGTAAGAGCCAGGGACCTGCTCATCGCTACAGGACCAGCAGCACCCCATCCTTTTCCCTATCCCTGGACAGGACTCTCCAGCAGGCATGCGCTGAGCTGGGTACTTCTCTTGGTGTGTGGGATCTCAGGGATGTGTGGAGCAAGCCAGACAGGCAAAGGCAGGAGCCAGAACAAAATCTGTCCTCTTCACGCAGGATCATTTGATAATATGACATCTCTAGCAAAATTCACCAGTTATGTTTTGTAGTGTTTCTGATTCCTGGCCTTTGCACTCACATCCCACACGCCAACATGCAGCTCTTCTCGTCCCAGTACAGACCCAGAGCGAAGTCATCCCACTGCCTAGAACAGCACACAGCAACCCAAATTTCTGTCCTCTGTGCACACTCTTTGAGCAGACTGGCTGGCTTGGGGCAAGAGACGCACGCCTGCAAGGATGAGGTGCTCTGAGCCCTCTGGCTTCCTCCACAATCCCACTGAGACAGATGCCTTAGTTAAGCATCTCTCAGTTCTTTGACTGATGCGTGTCTCTGTTCCCAGCCACACGTGGTCTTCCCCAGTTGCCCAGAGCCCACATACTGGTGCACGGCATGTCAACAGGATCGGCATCTGCCCGGTAATATCCGTTTCGACACACGCAGTTCGTGGCTCCTTCTGAAGTCGTCCGGCTGTTAATCGGGCAGTGGACGCATCCTTCATCCCCTTGGCTGGGCTTGAATGTCCCTGATGGGCAGCCTGGAAGAGAACCAAGAGCAGCAATAAGTGGTGAGGAAAGGGACTGGCAGGGACACCCGGAGCCTGGCAGTGCTGTCAGAAAACACTCTTTGGAGCTTTGCAGTCTGAAGCCAAAACCTGACAATTTAAAGTCAACAACGTGGAGAAGGAGCAGCTGGTTCGAAGGCTCCGAGGAGGCAGGCGCTGCTGGTCACGCCGCCTGTAGAGATGGGGTCCCCATGCAGATATCTCTCCCCACTATTCCCCAACCACAAGTGCAGAACAGGGTCCGTTCAGGCAGCCTTACAAATGTAAAGGAGATTTTTAGCCACTGTCACATAAGAAGATGTGAGCAGCTGTACCAAGTCAGACCACAGTCACCAGAATCCTCCTCTCAACAGTGACCACCCAAGGAGCAGGGCACAAGCCAGGCACATGCATTGCTCACAACACCTTCCCACCCTCCAACAACAAAAGTGCTCAGGGACTTTCTAAGAGGCAAGCTCTTTGCATTTAACATCCCTTGTGGGATGTTTCTTCCATTAAGTTACCCAGTTGTTTTTTTTATTCCATGCAAATGTTTTGCACCCATTTTATCCTGCAGCACAGAACCCCACGGCGTAACTGCACGCTGCGTGAAGAAACTGCTGCCCTCTGCTTTGAAGCTGCCAGCTGCCATTTCATTTGATGCACTCGCACACTGGCATTGCCAATGAACACTCAATCGCCACCCACCTTCTTTTTCCATGACCCCTAGGGTTGCACAAACCTCTGTCATGCCCCAAGCAAGTTGCATAACAACATTCACTATTTTATTCTATTTTATTCTCTATTTTTTTTTCCCATAATTAGCAATGTCCAAATTATTTTTTAACCACCAATGTACCAACTGGACTACCTATTATAGCCCCAAGGTCTCATTCCTCAGATACATCCAGCCAACCCACAGCCTAGCTCTGTGAATGTGTGTGTGAAGTTGGGGTTGTTTTCTCCATTTGCATCACCGTAAGTCTAATGAACTCCAATTGCCTTCTCATTCCCCCATCACCTCTCTCATAAAGTCCTTTTGTAACTCTCCACAGCCAGTCCTTGTCTTCACTACTCAGTATCATAAGCCATGATTGGCAGCAGCATGCTGGGGTCTGTCTCCACTGGGGCTCAGACCTCCAAGCCACTCACAGATTAAGAAGATGCTCCCTTAGCAACAGCCACTCAAAAAAAATGTACGTTCAGCCAGGCAGGGTGGGCGAGGGTGGCATGGGGAGTGCATGGTGCCTTGAGCAGATGGATGGTGAAGTCTGGACCACAGTGTGAAATACAGTATTAATGGATATGACACAGGTGGCTAAAAATATCATTGCAGAGCTTTAAACACCAGGAAGTCCTTTCCAAGTCAGGGGATCACCAATGCCAAAGCAAATGCTTGGCTATTACCAGGTATCAGCATGGCTCTTGGTGATTACTTGATAGCGACTTTCTGCTGCTGTTAATTCCTCGTGCAGCACAAAGAGCCTAGGGGGTGGCAGGTGGTTTCTGCACTGAAACGAGTTAAACAAACTTCTCCTTCAGTTTGCTGCCAAGGCTTTCAGGAATGAGGCAGATCAGAAAAACAGCCTGGGAAAAACATACGCTTGGGGTTGCTGTGAGCAAGAGCTATTACCGAGGAGTATCTGCTTTTTAATTGGGAAAAAAAAAAAAAAAAAATAAATTTTTTTTTTTTTTAGTTTTCATCTCCCTTCCTTCAAAATTATCTTGAGTTTCCAAGGAAAAAAGCTCTACAGAAAAATATCATCAGCCTTCCTGCTTGCAAAATCCCTCCTGCCTCCTACAGTCAAAGGATCTGTTGAAAAACTGGCTTATCCTCATGTTCCTGGATCTTTCCACCCTCGCTGTCCCCCATCCCACACACATTTGACTCCCTTTCTGACCCTATTCCCAGCATGTCTCTCAGTACAAACCCATCTCAGAGGGTGTTAAGCTGTTGGGAGAGGTGATGGCTGTGTAGTTCTCCGTGACAGAGAAGTGATGGTGGCTCTGTAGCTGAAATGATAACAGGGTCCCTGGACTAATACCAGTTTTTGAAACATGGTGAGACCAACATACAAAATTGCTGTAGTCTGACATCCAGGGTAAAATATAGGGTCATTTGGTCAAAGATGTTTTAAGACATGGGCCTCTTTCACCTTCCCAAGGCTTATTTTAAAAATAACAACTTTCCTATAAGGTTTCCTCTGCATAAAGATAGAGATACATAAAAAAAAAAAATGCCTGCGCTGTTGAGATTTAGCGACCGACCTTGAGAGACAAAAAACATTCTCCAGGTTTGGCCTGGCACAGGCGGATGGCTGCAATTAATTAACACAGCTGTGTGTGCTGCTCTTAGAACGGAGCAAAAATTGGGGACTGAATGATTGTTCACCAAAACCACCAAGCTGGGATGCTAAAACTCTTTGTCCGTGCCACCAAAACACGGCCAGAAGTTTTGGCAACTTCTTCCCCAGGAGGTCCTGCACACCAACATGGGATAAAATCATCCTGCAAAATCAGAACTTCTCCAAAGATAAATGTTCTGAAATCATGCTGAAAGACAGGAAAATCACTGAAATTTGATGCAAAGCTCCTTTTTTTTTTTTTTTTCGCCCTCAAGTAATGACAACCTCTAGGAGTAAAATAAATGAACACTGTGTTCGAAACTGTTTTGTTCCCTCCAGGTCTGTCTCCTCTGGCTGAGAAAATAGCTTTTAATTTGGAATCCACCCAATTTTTTGTTTCCAGAGTAAACATCAAATCAAAACTGAGATCTTCACACAGGGGCTAAACCCTCTCCTGTTCACACAGCATGGATGTTCTCACCCCTTGCTGGAAGACACAAGGACACCCCAGTTTTCTGCCCTGGGTGGTGACAGTAGCTTTGGGACACGCTGCTTCCTCTTAGGCCAAACAAGGACAGGGGCAGAGCATCCCTAGAAATTCCTTGGAGAGAAGGAATGGAAACAGTGAAAGCACAGAAATTCCTGCTTTATCAGAGCATGCCTCATCCTAGGAGGGCAATTACCATGACAGCGGCTCTGGCCCCATCACTGGAGCAGAAGTGGTTTGCAGCTTCCCACGTGGTGGGTTCCCTCACCTCCAGCACCAGTCAGCAGAAGCTCATAGGGGTTAATGGGAAACATATGGAACTCACTGCTGCATGTAGGTGTGGATGGCCACCTCGCTGGGGTATGGTTTGGAGACAGCAGCTGGTTTACTTAGAATACTGGCTGTAGCTCTCTCAAATAAGATTGGGAACATCTGAGCAGCACTGGGTGCCCTCATTTCCCACCCACCCACCCACCCATTTCCAGGGCATGGAAATGTGGTCACGCCTGGGAAGGCATGTGTTTTGGGAAGGGAAAACCACGGAGAAGGACCCATGAGGAGTCCTGTCCTTCCCTACAGGAGGACCATGCCAGGTATCTAGGAGGGAAGGCCACTTCTGCAGCATCTTCTGCTGGAGGCAGCACTGGCACAAGGCTTCCATCCCTCCTTCCCTGTAGTGCTGCCTGTCCCGGGGCAGCTCAGAGAGAAAGACATCCCATGGCTCATCCTGAAGGAAAAGCCTTTGGCCACACATGCAGGAGGGACTGCAGAGAGGGTCTGTGTTTGCTGGCCCCATGTCCCACTGCCTCTCTAACCAACTTTTTAACTAATGCCTTGTGAGCTGAGCAGGCTCCAAACAGGCTGCTCTGCATCAAAAACTGCCCTGGCCCTCAGAGCCCACGCCAGACCACTTCAGCAAACAGCTCTCTCCTGCAATAAAAGTTTCCAAAATGGCACCTTCAGTCCATTGCTAACGGCTCTGAGGAAGGGTCCTCCCTGGCTCCCTTTGCCTGGCTTTGTTCCTCCTGGCAGCACAGCTCCTTCCACTCAAGCAAGGCATTTGTAATGGCTGATGGAAAACAGACTCTGGCTCTGGCTCTGTCAGTGAGGATCCACCAAGAGTCTCAAATCCCCGGCCTTATCTCCAGCTGCCTCTCTGTTCTCTCTGGGGCCGGAGGAAGGGGCAGGCAGACGGGCTCTGCAGCCCAACATTGCCAGCATCCCCGGCACTGCCAGACCCAGCAGCTGGTCACCTCAGCCACATCCTGCCTCTCACCCTGCCTGTGCTTTTGGGAGGACTCTCCCACAGCCCTCCTCACTCCTGCTGGCATCCAAATCACCCCACAAGCCTCTGGCTTCCTTGGCCACACACCACAGGACTGGCCCCGCACCAGCCCCACACTGAATGGGGTCCAGCGATTTGCTCTTATGAAGAACAAAGAAAACAATGCCCTGGTCCATGCCAGGAGAAGTGTGGCCAGCACATTGAGGGAAGTGTTTTCCCCTGTCAGGCACTGGGGATGCTGCTGTGGCTAGTTGCCCAATTCAAGGACAATATGGAGAAACAAGGTCAGGTTTGATGGGGCTCTGAGCAACCTGCTCTAGTAAAGATGTCCCTGCTCACTGCAGGGGGGTTGGACTAGGTGACCTTTGAGGGTCCCTTCCAACCCAACACATTCTATGATTCTATGATCCTAACAAGAGAGTCCAGTGGATCTCATCAAGATGGCCAGCCCTGGGGCACGGGACATACGAGGAGAGATGTAAAGAGCTGGGATGGGTTAACTAGGGGAAAGGGGGAATGAAACTGCAGCTGCAGCTGTTTGGGGGCAGATGCAAAGAAGACAGACCCAAACACTTCTCTGGGTGCCCGACTATGTAACAAGGGACAAGGACCAAAAGTTCATGGACATTATGAAAAGCTCCTTCTCCAAATGATGGGACAGGTCACAGAGCAGTGGTGGATCTCCTTCCTTGAGCAAGATTCAGCTAATCAACGTGGTTGCCTTAAGCTAATGCTGGTGGCAGCCCTGCTGCAAGTGGGAGGCTGGACCCCAGACCCCAGAGTCTCCTCCACCAGCACTTCTAGGTCTCTACTGCTTATGATGTGTGGGGGGGTATTTATGATGTCCTGTGCAGAAAACTATTATGTTCAACCAGCC